GGATTCCCTTGGAACTGGAGTTAAGGATGGTTCGTAGCTGCCATGTGGGTGCTGGGAATCGAACCCGGGTCCTCTGTAAGAGCAGTCAGTGCTCTTAACCACTGAGCCATCTCTCCAGCCCCTCTGGGGGTTCCTTTTCTTATGCTTTCATTTATAATTCAAAATTTGTTATTACCATCACAAAAACATGGTAATTTTTTTGAAAAGTAACTAAAATACACAACTACATTTAGATTTATGTCTAGAACTTGCACTTACTCTAGAATTTATACTTACTATATATGTAAAACGTTTTAATTTTTCTTAAATTTCTTTCTTGATACACGTAAACACACACAATGTATTCAATAGAAGAAGGTGAAAATTTTGGGACAGATTTTTAAATATTTGCTAATGAGATTGTGGGTGCCATTAAAAGATCATCATAAATCTTGAATGTATCATGGATTCTAAGCTTGCCAGTGGCAATGTATTGAATTATGACAATATGTTGTATTGAAATATGACAAGGAATTTTCTTGTGTGTAGAGTCATCCATTCTTGTATTATTACATCAGTTACATATGGAAAAGTATCAGGTTTTCAATACAAATTAAATACTTTAAAAAAAGTCATGTGGGCATGAAGGGAACACACAGGAAATCACAGGTGCTCAAGAGGGTGAGGTGGGACGATCACTTCAGCCCATACCATTGAGACCAGCCTGGGCAAAGTAACATCTCAATCCACTTCAAACAAGAACATACAGCTGAATGAAGCATCATTTCTTTCCTGCCTCCCAGGATGATGCTCCAGAACTGGAGGAAGGATTTATTGTCACTATCGCTGAGGTGAATGTGGTGAACCTCGACTTCCCTGCAGAGCAGCCTGCTGTGCGGATACCAAGGATGGAAATAGCAGAGATAATCATAGAAGAAAATGATGATCCAAGAGGGATTTTTAAGTTTCATGTTACCAGAGTGAGATGAAGTTTCTCAAATTTATAGCAATATAAGTTACACTTCCCCTTGCTAATTTGGCCAGTGACTTTACATTCTTGACAACATAATTGGCTTTGTTTGTAGACATGTATAAATAGATAAGTATTCAAATTTGTTTTATTAACTAATTCTTAATTCTCTGAGCTAGTCCATTGGAGTAAATGTTTGTTTTCATTATGTTTCACTGTGAAAGTTCTAAACACTTCTACATACTTCCATCTGACTATTAATTTCTACTTTGAAAAAAATGAGATTTGTGGGAACAATAAATTTAGCAAGTGACTCAGGAGAGTTTTATGCATTTGCTTTGCCTTTCAACAAATATTTCTTGTTAAAGGATGTTGATGGAGTCATTACTGCTCATGAAGTGCCTCCACCCTTGAACGTTTTTCAAGTTCCTGTCATCCGGCTGGCTGGAAGCTTTGAGGCAGTAAATGTTTCTTGGAAAGCAACACCCGACAGTGCTGGCCTGGAAGACTTTCAGCCATCTCACGGGATTCTCCAATTTGCAGATGGACAAGTATGCACTTGATGAACAGATTTGTGTTTTCTGGCTTCAAACATTTGTGGACATCTATCCAATGACCACGTATTAGTGATTGCTAAGTGCATTGTGCACTAATGTTTCTATGTCAAGTAAGACATAAGTATTATTAATTAATGTACAGTCCATTCTTGATGACCAGAACAGAATTCTGAGAGACAAGAATTCTACCCTTTCTTGAACTTTTCTGATTCCATTTAAAACAGAAGTTAGGAAACAGGGTAATAGTTCATTTTTAGGTACCTAACAAAATGTATTGTTAAAAATGCCTATTGAACTGGACCATTCTTAGTTTAAGTTTCTTTATTCTTTTCCCTAATGTTCACAGACATTACTTTTTATTTATTTTTAACTTATTCTCTCACAGTTTCACACATTTATATTGTGAATTTTAGTCATTTAACTCTCACTACCCTCTCTCATCTTTTCTTCCTTTCCACGGAAATCCTTCTTCCCAACTAGTCTCCACCCCACCCCATGTCTTTTCTTGCATATATGACTCACTGAGTATAATTAGAGCAGCTAGAATGAGCTTGGATGGGAGGTTATTTGCTGGAGTACGGGCTGCTTTGCATCGGCTATACCACTAAGAAAATGACACCACCATGAACTGCCAGTAATCCCTCAAGGAAGGCTGTGACATCATGAGCCCTTCCCCCATCCCTGATGAAGTGTTCATGGGCCTAGTCTTGTGCAGGTAACCATGTCTGCAATGAGTTCATGAGTGCAGCAATTGTGCCATGTCCAGAGGGCACCTTTCTTTGGCATACTTCCTTGTCCTCTGGCTCTTGTGTTCTTTCTGTCCCCTCTTTGATGTTCCCTGAGCCATAGAGAGGGTGATATAGATGTCCCATAGCCTGTGTGGGGCTAAGCATTGTAGTTGCTTATTCTTGCCATGTTGACCAGTTTTAAATCTTCATTCACTGCTGCCTACAGTGATAAGAAGCTTCTCTGATGAAGGATAAGGGTGGAGCTTGTGTATGGGTCTAAACTTGAGTATTTAGGAGACAGTTTAACCTCTTGTTTATTTAGCAAAACAATAGTTGTAGGCTCTCCTCTTAGGCCCATGACCTCCTCAGCTACAGGCTCTTAACCAGGTTTAGAGTGTCAGGGATTGGTTTCCTCCTGTGAAGCAGTCCTCAAATCCAGTCAGAAGGCAGCTGGTTACTCCCATCACAATCATATAACTATTGTACCAGTCAGACCAATACTGGCAGGGCAGTACTATAGTTAGCAGGGTTTATAGCTGGTAAGGCTGTTGTTGGCATTTATTCTCCAGCAGCCTGAATAGCACCTTCCAGTACTATGAGAGTTAGTCAGCAGGGAAGAAAATTATAGCTCAGTTCCAGTTTAATTTCTATGTTCTGGATCCAAAGTTTGTGGTTGTTGTCTTCAACAATAGGGTCTTACTATCATAGTCTGATGGGCAACCAAGAACAAAGGCAGTAGCTTGTATTGTTTTCTGTGCTTCTGGGACCTCCTTAGCCAACAGCTTAGAGGGAAGTAGCCCACTCCTAGCCCTGGGATTTTAGTTCAGTAACTTACGGCTTCTGGTAGGAGCATTGAACATCCATATAAGGTATCTCAATTTGAACTCTTTAAAATACTTATTTTTTTAGCTTATAAAATAGTAGTTTTCTAGTGTTTTTCTCATATATCCTTAGCTTTGTTTACCCCACTCCTCCACCTCCTTCTGCTCTAGCCTGCCACACCTCTCCTCGCTTGAATCTTACCACTCCGGTCTCCCTGCCCTCTCGTAATTTCATGTTACATGTGATTTACTATTCCCTCTCCCATAAGGTCTCTTTCCCCCTCCCCTCTAATGGTTCCTTTCTATCTTCCTGGGTAATCTCATCCAATATAATTTTTTACAGTTTCACTCATTTTCCTTCAAATTTCATCATTTATTTTTCTTATCACTAAATACAATTCCATTGTGTATATGTCTCACATTTTCATTATCTAGAAGATAGATGTGTAGGTTGTTTCCATTTTCTGGCTATTGTGATAGAGCAACATTGTACATAGATGAACAGGTATCTCTGAACTAGGATGAAATTTTGGGGGTGTATGCCCAAGAGTGGTAGCTCAGTCATATGGGAGTTCTATTTCTAGCTTCTGAGGCATCTCTACACTGATTTCCATAGTGGCTGAACCAGTTTACACTCCCACCAAAAGTGTATAACGGTTCTTTCCCTACATCCTCAACTCATTTGTTTTCTTTTTTAAAAAAAACATTTTTATTCTATGTAAATGGGTGTATTACCTACATGTGTGTAAGTGCACCTGTGTCATGCAATGACTGCAGAGTAAGAAGGCAGTGTTGGATCCCCTGGAACTGGAGTTATGGACAGTTGGTAGCCACCATGTGGGTGCTGGCAATTGAACCTGGGTCCTCTGTAAGAGCAGCCGGTGCTCTCAAATGCTGAGCTGTCTCTCCAGCCTGTCATTCGTTTTCTTGATAATAGCCATTTTGAATGTTGTAAGATCAAATCTCAAAATAGTGTCAACTTGTGTTTCTCTTATGAATTATGACACTGAATACGTTTAAAATACTTATTTTGTATTTCTATTTTTGAAAACTCTGAGATATTTTTAAGTTTAGAATTTGCAGTATACTTGTACGTTTATTAATACACAAAGCTTTCTTGATAATTAAGAGACTAAAATGATAGAAAAGAAAGAAAATAGTGAACATTTGGAAAACTTTCAAAAGAATGTTCTAGTTTTAGGCTAAATAGTCTTAATAAATATAAAATATTCTCCTAATATTGCAAGTTCTATAAGCTGGGAATTTTGTAATACATATAAATAGGACATTTTATGCATATTTTTATCTTTGCATGTGTGGTATGTGTGTATTTGTGTGTATGCGTGTGAGTGCAGGCATGTGTGTGTCATGGCATGTGTGGAAGTCAGAGAGCAACCTTAAGTGTTGGTCGTCTGTCACCTATGTTGTTTGAGACAGGGTCTCTTGTTCACTATGTCTGCCAGGCTAGCTGCTGTGAGCTGCTGATGAGACCTTGGCTTCTGCCTCCCATCTCTCCTGAGGAGCACTGGGATTAAACCTGCATGCTATTGCTTCTGGCTTTGAGTAGGTTCTGGGTATCCAAATTCACATCCTCATGCTTGCAGGGCAAGTGAATTACTCACTGAGTCATCTCAGCCCCAGAATTTCGTCAATAAGTAGAAAGTCATATGAACAATGGTAAAAAAGAAAGTAACGTCTTCAAATAGCAGACTCTACCCACAGGTAGCCTGATTTTTGCCTGTACAAAGTCACAAAGTATGTGTCAACTAATTAGTTACTGCTAGGGGTGCTGTAATGCTAAAGGATACATATGTAGAGCTAGAGCTTCCTGTACACAAACACCTATTATGGTTAATGTTTGTTTGCCAAATTTAGAACTTTAAAGTGTTTCCTACTAATGGGTGGGGGTAACACATGTAAATGAGAACCTTTTTTTTTTTTTTTAAGGAGTAGCAAATAAATTAGCTTGTCATTGAAGCAACTACAAGACTAACTTTTTATTCTAAAAATGAACTTGAAGTCCCATCATTTACCAACATTCTTTGGATGTTTATATTTCTTAAACTTCTTGACATGTGGGGAAGATATTCTTTACTGTACAATACAGATTTGAGGTGTGACTATATTAGCCAGCTTGCGTTTTAGTGTTTGATTTTATTTAGGCATCTGTGTATCTGAGTGTGACACCCAGATTTCTTGCTTTTCCCCATTGTTAAAGGTTTTATGTAGATTTAGGTAGAAATTAATTTATTTCCTGATCAATGTCTGTGTCCAGTCCTGAAGCTTACTTGTAATATGCAGACACATTTTAATGTGAAGATGGAACTGGGGTATTTTTATGAAATCACAGCTTGACCAAGTTTTTTTATATGCTTGTAAAATCTTTTACCATAGACCTGTCAAGGTCTGATTATAAATACTGATTATGATTATCTAATAGCAGAGCATTTATTTTCTCTTGTTACTTTCTTATCATGCTAGAAGAATATTTGAAACAAATGATATTTAATTGCTGAACAGTGAGAGTTTTTTAATTTTTTTAAAATTGTGTGTGGAGGTATGTGCACATAAGTTCAAGTACCAGCAGAGGCCAGAAGAGGGTGTTTAATTTGCTGCAGCTGGAGTTACCAGTGGTTGTGAGCAGCCTGACATGGGTGGTGGGAACTGAACTTGGTCTGCAAGAGCAGTATGCATTCTGAACCGCTGAACCATTTCTCTAGCCCCACAGTGATAGGTTTTATGGTTCCATTGCTAAGCATCATTAATATCAACCACACTAGGTTTCATGTTTGTACAGTGGTTGTTAGAGGCTGCATGCCACTTAGAATTTTTGTTCAAAAATTTATTATTTTTTATATCAGTAATAAATAGACTATATTACATATATAATTTACTTATCTTGAAAGTAAGGCTTGTCAATTTCTAACTTTGGAATACTATAAATATACATGACTTTAAATGTATTTGGAATATAATTTGCAAAACCTGCTATTTATATCCATGTTTTGTTTGATTTCAACTGGAAAATTAAAAATATATATATATGAGGAAGCATTGCTGTTACATTGTTTCTCTTCCTTTCCTTCCCTCCTCTCTGCCTTCCTTCCTCTCTTTGGCTTTCATAGGTCACAGCACTGATAAAAATCACCATAATTGACGATGCTGAGTTTGAACTCTTGGAGACATTCAACATCTCCTTAATGAGTGTGGCTGGTGGTGGCAGACTAGGTGATGATGTTGCGGTGACTGTTGTCATTCCACCCAATGACTCTCCATTTGGAGTGTTTGGATTTGAAGAGAAGACTGTAAGTAAATATGTCAGGGGCTGCCTTGCCGCAGTTTTTCATATACTTTTCAGTAAAACATGTCTTCACTTTTTGTTTTGAAACTCTTCCTTACCCTTCACTTAGTGAGTCCCTCTTCAAGAGTCCTTTGAGTGGGTGGTTATTTAGGAGACCTCCTCCAACCTGTGCTCATAATCTGATTTAATGAGATTTTTATATTGGGTGATTTCAACAGGGAGCAGATTCTTTTTTATTGCTTGTAGTAAACCATGATGTTCTTCTTGTCTGTGCCTTCTATTCTCTGCCTGCTTTACTGCCAAACCAGCATCCTGATCTAAAGAGTCCTGCCCTTGGTCTCAGGTTAGGATGGGGTAGTTGGTGAGACTTAGCCTTGCTCATTGTTATCATGTTTCACCATGACCATTGCACTGCACAGGTGCAAATACATACATGCAGGCAATACACTCATACACATAAAATAAAAATAATAAATAAAATAAATAAATAAAAATAAAATACCTCTTTAACATCATTACACTTTTGAACTTGGACATTGAATATTATATAAGCTTTTCTTCCTTTTATGGAAAAATTAGTTGGATAAAAATTATTTCATGGTTTAATGTTTGAATCATAAATTGGTAAAAGCTTTTACAACATCACACATTTTTAAATTTGAAAAAATATTTTATTTTTGTATAGTATGTGTATTATGTTCTCTAGCCCCTACAACATCACACTTTGAACTTAAGACATTCAGTGTGCTTAACAAAGCCACATTATTATTCATAAATAACTTTCATTATTCATTTTATCTTAACTGTTGTCATAAACTGTAGTGTTCTAAATTTCACTGAAGCATGCGTGGAAAGCTAATATACTAGCCTCAAACTCCAATGTAGAGTCTCTTTTTTTTAAGAAAAAAAGAACATAAATTGTTATATTTATTAAATTTCTGTCTTCAAAATGGAAAGCACTGTTACCTTTCAAATTTATGTAATCAAATATTACAAGCTCAAGTTGGACATTGCTTCACAGAGTCAAAATGTATAATTCACCTACATCAGATCTTTTAATAAGTACTTGGGCATAAAAAATGCTGGTAATGGTAAATTAATATATTTGAATTGCCTTCAGTAATGGAGGGGTTGCTAGGGAGAGGACTCAGTGGGTAAAAGCACTAGTATGAGGATGTGAGTTCAAATCCCTTTACCCACATAAAGGCCAGAAGTGTAGAAGGAGCTTCTGTAATCCCAACATTCCTGTGGGGAGCTGGAGGGTGGACACAGAGAATCCTTGGGAGCTTCTAGGCCAACTAGCCTGGAGTGTCCGGTGGAAAAACAACAGAGAGACCCTGCGGTGGAAGGCAGAGTCCAATACCTGAGTATGTCCTCTGACCTCCACACATATACCATGATCTTGTGCACCTGCATCCACACAGAGGAATGCACACACACATTACACACACATTGTACTTACATACGTACACACCCAAAGAATGACAGAGACAGAGAGAGAGAGATAGAGAGAGACAGCGGGAGACAGAGGAAGACAAAGACAGAAACACTAGGTATTTGAAATCATTAATTTATACTCTTCGCTCCATCGCATTTTTTTCTTCTGATAAAGGCAGGTGGCCCATATGTCAGCTAGGTTAATAAACCCTCTTTTAAACATTTAGCCACTACAGTTGGCAAACTGCTGGCCATTCAGGATAATCTGTACCTGCATTATCTGGGGAAACTACTTGTAACAAAGAGCCCCCAAACCTCAGTTCTTTTATTATGTGTGCTTCTTTATGCAAGAGGACTACACCAGTGTTCCTAGATGTCTGACACCTCTCCTCCAGTTGGTACCCCAGGCATCAGACCTTGTGTACTAACTTCTAGGTCTTTTGCATCCTCTGATATAAGTCAAATTCAGTGCTGGGAGGTGCATGCGGCATCCATTCCCTTGTGACAGCCTGAGGAAAAATATTCTCCAAACCCCGGTTTAAAGAATCTTAACGAGTTTATTGGACTTGCTAACTGAGCTTGGGTTGCGGGTTTACTTACAGACAAGCCGCCCCCCCCCCCCCATTCATGGCTGTGTTTGAAAGTCCACATCCAGACATAAATCCTGTGGTTCCCGACAGCCTTACAAGAGACCAGCCTCCTGGTTTTTCCAGCTTTTATACCCTTAGCCCTTCCCCGGCAGGGGGCTGTGGTCAACCAATTAACTGGAATTGGGAAGGAGAGTGGCTTCTTTGCAGAGTGTGGGAAGGAGGTGGGTCCATGGCTTGTCATCACAGGGTCAGAGGAACATCTGGGTCACACTCTCCACCTCTTCCTCTGGCTCTTACAAAACTTTCTGCCTGCCTCTTCCATGAATATCACTGAGCCTCAGAGGAGGTGGGGTGACCTTTCTCCCACTGAAATAGGGCACTGGACTCTTCAAGTCTCTGCATCCTGTTTGCCATGGGCTGATGGCTTGATTTAGTGGCATTCCACCTACTGTAAAAACACAAACAGCGAGAAGCAAGAACATGTAAACAGTAACTGTAATAATAGCTCACGGGCGTAAACACAAATGCTTGGATGGTACTTTAGTAGGTGCATCACATCCATCTAGCAATACAATTGCAGTAGCTTCTCCACTGGCTCCTATAACCTCTCCTGCCATGGGGGGTTGGCCTGGTCTACAATGCCAGATGTGTGTTCCGTCCCTAGGAGCAGGCATTAGGTCCAATCGATAATTAGCTTGTTGTACATACACTAGACGAGCCACTATTGCACCAGCAGGAACATCTTGCTTTGCATGTTGGTAGTGAAGCACACGGGGTCCTTCGTTGAGCAGGATAATGGGGGACAGTTCTCCCCCAGCCATCTGCATAGTGCCTTCTGGCACTATGAAAGCCACCCATCCAGTGGCAGGGACTTTCCAGCTTAGTCCAAGCTTGATTTCTCCCTCTCCTGTGCTCACATCATGTGGCGTCTTCAGCTATAGGGCCTTATCGTCTGCTTCAAGTGTGCAAACAACATTATTGGCAATTGCCTTTATAGTTTTGGGGACTTCTGAGGTCCCTTTGGCCAATTGCTCATAGGGAGAAAACCCACTCCTGGTACTGGGATTTTCATTTAATAACTTTATGGCTTCTGGAAGGGCCTTTTTCCACCCCCGTAGGGTTACATCTGGGCTTAAGGCTTTCAACTCTTCCTTTAGCAACCCAATTTTCTTTCTGCTCCTGTAGGATTGTATGGAAGGTGGAAATACCATTGAACCTGACTATCCTCAGCTCAGGCTTGCACATCTCTACCTGTGAAATGAGTGCCTCTGTCGCTATCAGTTCGCCTTGGGCACCCATACATGATACTGAATTCAGTAGCCTTGCCCATCACTCTCTTGCAAGGAAAGTCCTGTGTAATTCTGTGGCAGTGTTCACACAAGTGAGAGCATATTAACACCCCTCACTGACTGGCAAGGGCCCTATATAATCTACTTGCCAGTCTCTCACAGGGGAAGCTGCCTTATGCACTGTCCCATCATGGCATCCATCCTCCGGGCAGAAACCGAGTACATGCCTCGCAGGCCTGGACAGCCTGTTGGATGTCAGCATATTTTACCGGAATGCCAGCTGCTTTGGCTGTTCTCCATCCCATGTCGGCTCCTCTGTGGCCTGACTTGATATGAATCCAGTGAGCTGTTTCTAGGGGAACCTGAGGGCAGACAGCCCTCACCTCGGTGAGGGCATCAGCTTCCTGATTCCTGGGGGAACTCACCAGGCGGTGGGCAGCCACATGGTAAACTACCAGGGGCACTAGCTCCTCTTGCATTTTATTATACATGTCCTTCCACATTTGTTGTCCCCGTAGTGGCCGTCCCATCACCTGCCAGTTTTCTTTCTCCCACTGAGCCATCCATAAGGTTAAGCCCCTGAACACAGCCCAACTGTCAGTACAAATTGTAACTGGCCAAGGCTCCCTCATCATTACTATCCATAAAGCTCTGGATTCAGCCCATTGACTGCTTTCTTCTTCTCTCCTCTCTAACCATATAGTGTCAATGTTCATCTGTAATGCCACTGCTACCCATTCTTGTCTGGCACCCCTGCTAGTGCCATCGGCATACCAGGCATCAGCCGGAATTGGGGGAGCCCCTTCTAGCACTCAGTCAGGTCTTGCTGGGGGTCAACTATAGCAGGTGGAGGGAGAGGCTCTGTGCCTTGAAATGACACCGGTCCTAGTCCTGCTTGCATGGCATTGGTGATTGGGCTTGCTGACACCATCCCTCGCTGTTGCAAATATGCATGCCATCTTTGCAGTGTTTGGTTTTGGGCCACCCCTGACAGGGGCTTGGCTAACAGGCCCTCCACCCATCATTTTATGGGATATGGCATTTTCACAGTAATGGGAGTAGGGCCCGTAATGGATTTGACCTGTTGCAATGCTTTGTACACAGCCAGCAGTTGCTGTTCTAGCATTGTGTACCGGGACTGTGTCCCTTTCCATGATTGGGACCAGAACCCAATTGGGACCGTCTGTTCGGTTTACTGTTGCCACACACAAGCTCCACCCATAACCTTCAGGGCTCCTGGTGACTTCCAAGAGGAAGGGACACCGAGGTACTGGGGCACACAGCTGCTTAGCTTGCCCAACCAGTACCTCAGCCTGCTTAAAAGCCTCTTGGGCCTTTATATACTAATGCCATGTAGCACCTCTTTTTATTAGATTATACAGGGGGCAAGGTGAGGTATAAATATTTGCCAATACCCGAGAAGTACCCCCAAAACCTGTAACTGCCTAGAATTCATCGGTACAGGTTGTTGTAAGATTTTCTCAACTGCCCAACTGGGTATCATGTGAGTTCTGCCTGACCATAAAACCCAAGAATTTTACCACTGTACTGGGCCCTTGTACATTCCGTGGGGTGATTTCCCATCCTTGCTCCTTCAGGTGCACTTGCATGTTCCCCAAATGAGCTTCCAAATCTGTAAGGCACTCAGAAGTTAGCATTACGTCATGTCTATAGTGGAACCTCCTTACAGAGGAGGGCAGGGTAATAGGGCCAGGTCTCGGGCCACCATCCCATGACAAACCGTGGGACTGTGGAGGTAACCTTGGGGAAGTATTCTGAAAGTCTATTGTTGTCCATTCCATGTGAATGCAAATTGATCTTGGGATTCAGCAGCTAGGGGAATACTAAAGAATGCATTAGCAAGGTCCACCCCAGCATGGAAGGACCCCATTTCATGTACCAGCTGATCAGTTAGCAGTGCAGTGTTGGGCACTGCTGCATGAATGGGAGGCGCCACCTTATTTAACTCCTGGTAATCTACAGTCATTCTCCAGGAGCCATGTGGCTTCCTGATAGGCCAGATAGGGCTATTGAAAGAGCTCTGGGCTGGGCTGGTAACTTCTCACTCTAGTTCCTGGATGGTTTCAGTAATTTCGTCTTGACCCCCAGGCAGCCGGTACTGTTTAATAGTCACCACCCTGCATGGGGTGGGCAATTTGACCGGCTCCCATCTTGCCCACCCCTGAGTAATTACCTTTACTGTTGGCACCCTCAGCCAAAACTCTCCCACAGTAGCATGTAGGGTGTGACCCAGCAGGGCATCCACTCCAAAAATGTTCTCTTGAAGGGGAGAGATGCACATCTTATGCTCCTGGCGGGGATAATTGCCCACTCCCAGAATGGGTCTAGTCTGCTTTACTTGAATGGTTTTATCCCCATACCCATCCACTGCTATCCACTGGCCTTGATGTTTTTGGGGATTGCTGTGAATTAATGTACATTCTGCCCCAGTATCCACTAGGGCCCATGTGTTTTGTATATTAGCTTGGGACCAATAAATCCTCAATTCTACATATGGCCTCTGGTCACCCAGTATGGCCCTCACTTGTGGGTAACATTGGCCACCGCTTCAAGGCAGTGGTTGTGGAGGGTCCCATTCAATGAGGCTGCCTTCCTCTGGAGCAGGGGGTGCAGCTGTAGTTACCCGTACCTCCTGGTCCCCAATTTCTCTTACTTCTGTGGTGAATTGCTGGTCAGTTCTTAAAGCCCTCCACAGACTCACCAGCACAGCATTTGGCTGCCCGTCTATCTTGTCCCTAGCAACTCCTGCTCTGTGCAGACCCACCCACATCTGTGCTCAGGAGCCCCTTTGCTAAGTTCCGGCCCTTTTCCCTGGTGTCTACTCACTTTAGCACCTTTCAAACCCTGTTTACATGTTGGTCTAAATCATTTAAATCTGCCGGAGCCTCGCCAGCCTCATACAGGTCATGCCCAACCATGGGGCTTAGCACTGCCACAAAAGCTCCATACCAGTCTCGTGGGCCTTGTTGAGTCAGTTTTTTTTTTGTCTTTTTGAGACAGGGTCTCCTTATAGCCCCAGCTGTCCTGGAACTCACTATGTAGACCAGGCTGGCCTAGAACTCACAAAGATCTGTCTGCCTCTGCCTCCGAAGTGCTGGGATTAAAGGCATGTGCCACCATGCCCAGCCCAGTTTCTTTCTTAAGTCTCCTGTAAACACAGTCCTGTCTGGGCCTGTGAACTGGGCATCAAATACAGCTTCCCTTATGCCCAGTTCTCTCACCAGAGCCTGTCCTTCCTCAATGGTTTTCCAGTTTCTAATATTCATGGGAATCTCAGCTGGAGATACCCGTGTATCCGAATGGCTCGTATGAGCCAATCCATCATGGACTGGTTTCCCTCATGTTGTCTTAAATTGTGAAGTCTTTGTCTTAAAGAGCAATGAGTGGTTATGTTGCTTAACTTCTCTGCTTCTGTAGAACTTAAAATGATTCCATCTGCCCACATATCCCATAGCCTCACAAGCCAGGTGGCCACAGGCTCCTTCATAGCTTGTTTAAATGTCTTTCCCAGTTCTAATAGCTCTGGTGCTGAGTATCCTCTGATTACTATGGTCTCCTGCACCGGGCTATTGTTAAGACCTCTATTGGCATGTTGGACCATGGATTTTCCCTTTTTTGAATTAGAGGTTGGACCCGAGGAGCATCTCCCACTCTCTCTAGGTCACTTCCTTCTTCCTCACTACCTGACTCTTCCCAGGGGTTCCAGGTTTTAGGATCCCAGCATGGGCCTTTTGTTATCATTCTGATCTGGGCTTTTTTTCCCCTTTTGTCCTCCTAGACGTAAAAAATGGTATGCCAACACCTCCATCTACTTTTCTTTCTTATGTAATTTACTGGCAAGGTCAGAGGCCAGTACTGAAGAGGCCAGCCTCATATCCCTCTCCCATTCTAATTTCTCTCTAACACCTTCGGTTTCCCTTCTGGCTAAGGCCTCTGCCTGGAACAGCTTTCTTGTTATCAATAGCAGTGGCATGCGGCCTCTGCAGCTGCTTTTTGACATTTCTGTCCCTGGTGTGCTACTCCCAGAGATTGCAGAATCTGTTCCAGACCTTCTGCTGTTTTCAGGGCCTCTCCATACTCATGTGGTGGCCCCCACCGGTCAAGCAGGCATGCCACCCCATACCATCTACAAGATGGCTGCCATCCTGGGATCTCTCCCATCAACCTCAACTGTTTAGAAGGCCTCACCGTAGTTACATATCTCCCTGTCCACTACGTTAACCATGCCACTGCAGCCACCCCCACCAAGCTTATGGGAATGGCTGGGCCTCTCCATACTCATGTGGTGGCCCCCACCGGTCAAGCAGGCATGCCACCCCATACCATCTACAAGATGGCTGCCATCCTGGGATCTCTCCCATCAACCTCAACTGTTTAGAAGGCCTCACCGTAGTTACATATCTCCCTGTCCACTACGTTAACCATGCCACTGCAGCCACCCCCACCAAGCTTATGGGAATTTGCTCACCAGGTTAACATTTCCTCAGCCCACACTCTCCCCTCACCCCACTTTACTTTGGTTGTTGGTCTCTTTCTTCGCATCAGGGACATCATCAATGCTCTTCCAAAACTCATTCTCAGTTTTGTCGTATCCTGCTGGGCTATGCCAATTGTAAGTCAAACTCATTGCTGGGAGGTGCATGTGGCATCCAGTCCCCTCCTCCCACAGTCCTTGCGACAGCCTGAGGAAAAAATTCTCCAAAGCCCACTTTGAAGAATCTTAACGAGTTTATTGGACTTCCTATCTGAGCTTAGGGTGCAGATTTACTTACAGACAAGCAGGTGCCCCCCCCACCCCCCACATTTACGGTTGTGTTTGAAAGTCCACACCCAGACATAAATCCTGTAGTTCTGGACAGCCTTACAAGATGGCGAGAGACCAGCCTTGTGGTTTTCCCACCTTTTATACCCTTAGTCCCTTCCCTGCAAGTGGCTATGGTCAACCGATTGGCTGGAAGAGGGAAGAGGAATGGTTTCTTTGCAAAGCATGAGAAGGAGGTGGGCCCATGGCTTGTCATCACAGGGTCAGAGGAGTGTCCAGGTCACATCTGGGTACTAACTTCTTCTAGGTATTTGGCATGCTCTGTGTTCCAATGGATAAAGAGTGGGTGTGGAGGAGTATGTTGTCACCATATATCATGTCTGCCAGTAACCTGTTGACAATTCATCCACTTGGTCCACCTAATTCCAAGAGAGAATAAAAATACCAAGGAACTGAATTCTGTTGGAAAGAAACGAAGTGGGTTTGGGAGAAACCTTTATTCCTGCCACATGATGATAACATGCCATGAACAGAATTCTAAATTCCAACAAGTAAACCAGTAAGATTCTGTTTGTTTCTCCTGCTTTTTATTTGTTTGCCTTACTGGATTTTATTTCTTTCAGGTGATGGTAGATGAATCCCTTTTGTCTGATAACCCTGACTCATATGTGACATTGACAGTTGTCCGGTCCCCAGGAGGAAAAGGATCTGCCCGACTTCTTTGGGCTGTAGAAGAGAAGGCCAAGGATGATCTCAGCCCTTTGAATGGGACACTTCACTTTGATGAGGTACTGTCAGCTTCTGTATTCTTGGAACCTTTCTCTTACTGGTATTGATTTTCCTTTCACACAGTATTGTAGCATGGCTTATGAATTCACATGGTGGTGTTCAACATTTCTGGAATTTTTTTTTGAAATCCATATGTACTGAGAGGAAATAAGAAGAGAAAAAGAAATAGATATGAAATCAGATTGTTTAATTCATATCCTGCCTTGGTTATAGGATGAAAAGTGCCTTTTCTTCCACATTTCCTCTTACTGAGAGCAAAGTCAGACAAATCAGATGTCTGAGTGCCATCACCAGCACTGCCCTTTATGGCGCTGTCATATATATTTGATCACTGAGTCTGGTTAGTTTTATCTCCTCAATTTGCTCTCTTACTATTATGACTATGAAGAACTTCTACGAGTCAAAATGTTGATAGTGTTCTATAACAACACAGTATTTAAGACAATGTCAAATCTACAAACATTTAGCCAACATATTAATAGTATACCATAATAATACAGTCTCAAAGCTAGTCTCTAACTTAAACAGATTTGGAATTTTAAAGCCATTAATATTTTGATAACATGGTAGAGATAATGTTTCAAGTATTCATCCCAGAGGTGGGCTAGGGACATGATCAAGAGGGACTGCACTGCGGTCCTACTCTCCCCACCAGTCTTTGGTGAATCAGTGCTCTTTCTATTAAGCTGTTTGTTTTTGCCTTCTCCTCCTGCTTCCTTTCCACCCCTTCCATCAGTGTTGCTAAAAGAGCAAGTATTATTTATGCCTTTCCCTCAGGGTGTTCTTAGAGCAGCAAAATCATCCTTTAGAAAAATAAAGAACACAGGAAAGGAACTTCATAGAGGTGCGTGAATGCTTAGAGCCAGCAGTGACACATACCATCTTTGTCTGTACGTTCCCCTGCATTCTGAGTAGTCAACGCCAGTTCCCCTTGAGCATCACTGATGACGTATCTGCCCCTTTGATTCTGCTGCTTATTGCTTCTCACAAACACCAACACAGAGCGGCTGTGTTCTTGTTCTTGCCAGCTCTTCCCTCTTGACGTCGATTCTGAGCCTCCATTTCACAGTTTGCAGAATCGTGGGGTGAGATGTGTTAGTGCGCTGCTTCTTTGATTGTTGTCATATCCAGTAGTATTTCTACGTCTTCACTCAAGCTTTTCTCATAATTATAAATGTCCCTTTTTATAAGGTATTTACTCTTTAAAAATTGTGTGAGGGTTTCTAGGAAAATGTTACTTCCTTCCTAACATTCTCCTGGAAAATCTCTAATTCTTAGGGTACAGAGTAACCAATGACTGGGCAGTGCAGTCTCTGGCCTGGAGCTCAGAGCAGTCAGGAAGTGGTCTGACCCCCCTCAGTGGCTCTTCCTGTTATTTAAGTGTATGCTGTGGGAGTATATGTGTAATCTAGTCCTTTATAAATTGATGTCTACAATATTGAAAATGCCCCCCCCAGTTTTAGAAATCTTTAAAAATTTATTAAATTATTATTTTATTAAATAGTTCTCTGAGCATTTCATACATGTATGAAACTTATTTTGATCATATCCATCCCTTGCCTGCCATGACATACTTTTAACTTCATATTCTCTTTTCTTCTTTCCTTTATAATCCATTGAGTCCAATTAGAGCTGCCCATATGCACATTTGTGTAGGAATATCCAATGGAGCATGGGCAACCTACCAGAGGCTACATACCTAAAGAAAAATGACTCTCTCCCAGAGCCATCAATTGCCAATAGCTCTTAGCTAACGGTGGAGTCTTGTGAGGCTCTCCCTCATCCATGTTGGGGTGTTGGCTAGCTTGATCTTGTGTAAGTCTTATGTAGACAGCTAAGCTGCTTTAAGTTCATGTGTGAAATGGCTCTGTTGTGTCTAGAAGACACTGTTTTTCAGTAGTCCTCCCTGACCTTTGGCTCTTACAATCTTTCTATTCCCTCTTCCATGATGTTTCTTCAGCCTTAGGGGTTGAGGTGATATAGAAGTCTCGTTTGGTGTGAAGTACTCCCTAGTTACTTACTATTTGCACTTTGACCAGTTTGAGTTGGTGTGATATCCACCTTCCCCTACAATAAGAAGTTTCTCTGATGAGGGCTGAGAGCTGCTATAATCTATGGGTATAAGGATCCATATTTAGAAAGCAGTTTGATGCTCTGTCAATTTAGTAAAATAACAGGGAGGCAGAGATAGGTGAATCTCTGTGAGATCGAGGCCAGCCTGGTCTATATAGTGAGTTCCGGGACAGCTGGGGCTACAGGAGACCCTGTCTTAGAGAGAGAGAGAGAGAGAGAGAGAGAGAGAGGGAGAGAGAGAGAGAGATGAATAAAAATCAAAGCCATGTATTCTCTAGTAGACTCAGGGCTACAGGCAAAAGAGTAGGCTGAATCTAAACTGTGCTTCTGGGGTGCAAGAAAACTATTTAGTGAAGCACAAAATGAGTAATATTCCTATGATTTAGCAGTAATGAGAAAAGTTCATAATGGTAAAAGTAGAAATTAATGAGGAAGATATTCAGTAAGAAACAAGACCATATGAAAAAAAAAAAAACCTTGAAATTTGAAGGTAAATGGGAACTAAAATATGTCAAGAAACACCAGGCTAGTGGCTGGTAGCACCGGATTTTCTCATATTAGCCCCCTGCTGTGCTGTTGCTTCTGGTAGTTTTGCTAACTGGGAAGACAGCACTGCCCACAAGGCCAGTGAAGCCTGTGGTGAGCTGTGGGAACAGTGACTTCCCAGGACTCTCAGGACTGTCAGCTGCAACTGTGACATCATCTAAGATATGGTTTCTCCTTTGCATGCAGCCACTATCCTTGTTAAGTCTCCACCCTTTGACCTTAGTCTCTTCTGGATGTGACTTTCACTTGCTAAAAGATTGAACTTTCAGTGGTGGAAAATTTTCAGTAAATTAGGAGTTGTGTTATTTTTCCCCACAAGAAACTAAAATGAAATATATGGTCAGACCCCATTTTTATATTGTAATTCTTCCTAGATATAATCCATAATTCTAGGTGACAAAATGGCATCTTGAAAAATCGTATGTACATGAATCTTATCCTGCTAGTGAGAACATTCAAAACTTAACTTTTGTTAGTCTTGAAACCTTAGTGTTCCTCTTGTTGAAATGACATAGATGGAGTATCAGAAGACCATTGTATTACACACTCTTCAGGACACCACGTTGGAGGAGGACAGACGCTTCACCATTGAACTGATGTCAGTTGATGAGGCAGAAATATCTCCAGTGAAAGGTAAGGAAATTCACATATTTTAAAAAATTAAGTGTAACCAAAAAACCTGTAGCTGAGAAAATAGGCAATGCTAGGTTTCATAATTTCTAGAATGTGTGCTAAAATATAAAAATACCATTTCCCCATCTATATTATAGATAAAGAAATTTTAAGTCCAAATTATAATACAATAAGCATAATTGATATGGTCATAGATTAAAGATTTCATCCTGCAGCTTTCTTATAGTAACGATATTCATTGTAGCTAAAGCTTATAAATGAAAACATGGAAACTTCCTAAATATTTCGACAGTAGGAAGCTGGTTAAATATAACAACACTACATATCGGAAAAACCCCTTAGTTACATTAAAAATCAGCAATTCTTTAAAAATTCTTTTTAGATTAAAAAAATTTAATTATATATATTGGTGTGTGTGTGTGTGTGTGTGTGTGTGTGTGTGTGCGTGTGTGTATGTAATCTCTGTCTCTCTGTGTGTGGGTATGTGTATGAGAGTGCAAGTACTTGTGGAGGACAGAGGGGTTAGATCTCCTTGGAGCTGAATTATAGGCGGTTGTGAGCTGCCCTACATGGGTGCTGGGAAGTGAACTCACATCCTCTGCGAGACCAGTAAATACTCTCAACTTCTGGGCCATTTCTCTAGCCCCAAGAATTTCTAATTACACGGAGAAGTCATGTTTCTGTATTACATTAATTTAGAATTGACTTGAAGTGCTAAGAGTGATTTTTGATGGCCTATCGTTTCTAAATATGTTTATAGTGGTCATATATTTCTTTGGCAATAAAAGATGATTTTGGTTATTATAGCCAATGTTTTACATGTTTATCTGAAATTAGTTACTTAGTTGTTCTGACATTTGTCCTAATCTTCATTTGCCTATGGTCTATGTACTGATTTGTTTCTGGATCTGTAGAGAAAAGGCAGCTCAAAAATGATTTCTTTGTGCTACAAAAATAAAAAGGATGAGAAACTTTTAAAGTGAAAACTTGCTTATTTTTACATGGTCCTTTTACAACATCAAAATTCTATCCTAAGCAAGCTCTGGGACTAAAAGTGGATTCTATTACTGAGAATGTTCCCCTAATTGTATAGCACACCATTGGGGTATGTTGCAAAGACTGTGGGAATACCATAAACTGGTTTTAATTTTTTTTCCATGAAACTAGTGTGTGCTGCTGGAAACAGTTTTCATCAAATTACTGCTAAGTTACAGTATGGATACTCAAATTACTAGATATAGTTCAATTTCCATTTTAATAGTATAACTGACACAGTTTTTAAAATCCTTCTAATTATATGGTAGTCAGGAAATTAAAATTTAGGGATGGTGCCTCCAAGAATCTTGCTTTTCTCACATAGGCAGTTGCCATGGGTACATAGCCAAGGGCAGCGAGATGATCACTGCAGAGAGGAGTTCATGTAGACAGTGAAGGCTTGCCATACAGTGAAAGCAGCTAGGAGGTCACCACGCACCTTCTCCTGCCCCTTTCTCAAAGCATGATCGCGGGAGTCTGTAGTGTGCCTCAGTGTGCTTGTAGTAAAATGAGGATAACATTCCTATGTGCTATGAGTGCTGTCGCAGGTATGTGCATCCCATGTTTGCCTCAAAGTGGTATGTGTCACCTTCAACTTAGGTAGTGCATCAATAATCATTCGGGGAGAAAAGGGAGCATCAGAAGTTGGGATAGCTCCGTCATCTAGGCATATCCTTATTGGAGAACCCTCAGCAAAGTACAATGGTACCGCTATCATCAGGTAAGGACTTTGGGATTTTCTTTGCCTATGTGGGGATTATGAGAGTTTGTTTAAATAGCCTAGCATACCATTCTTAAGGCACATGTAATAATCATTATTGTTTTCCATATTGGTAGCATTATGCAGAGATTAGAACTAACATTAGGCAGAAATTGAAAATTGTATCTTGAAGCTATCTCAAAGTTAGACATAAGTAGGTTTTTTGACTCGGGGATGATTGGCACAGGCTATGGTAAAGATTAGACAGTAAACTAATATTAAACAGCCTTCTTCTGTCACTACACACCCAGAATTAGGGATTATTTTCTCTCTATAAACTTGATTCTAAGAGTTCTAAAACCAGAGCCTGCTGCATAACTAAGTATGATGAGGGACAAGTTGCTCTTTCCACATTCTCTAATAAGGAATGGTAACAGCCCTCAGTGAAGTCACTGGATTTGACTTAGATTTTCTCTGTTTGGTAGCTATCTGAGGTTACTATCTGGTAGTTATCCAATGGTGATACCTATCATTTTCCACTAGACACTTCTTGAATGAAGCTTGATATTTCTGTTCTTCAGAGAAATTGTTAGGCTCTTCTTATTTTATTCTTTTTTTTTAATTTTTAAAAATGATTTATTTAATAACAACATACTTAGAAGAAGCATATCATTACAACACAATTGACATATTCAATAACGTTTTCCTGAGGTAGGATGCATCTCTTTCAAATTTGGCTGTAAATTTTTAGGTTTACAGTTGAATTATTACAGTTATACAATATTGTACTCAGTATAAACCCTATAAGACATAAATTAAATGATGTTTTAACCTTTAAAAAGATCTCCATTTCATTATTAAAATACACAGTTTCATATAGAAAAATTCTTTTTCAATGCAATTGACATTGGATGTTTGCACATGCATTTCTAATCTCTAAATATCTGATTATTACTAGTCACAGTTGGTTACTTTCTGAGCTTCTAGGCATCATTACCATTGAAATCTACCTGATGACTTTATTTTATTCTTATAAATAAAAATCTATGCTTATTTTTCTTCCTTTAAATCTTCTGGTTTTAGTGTTCAGTTTTCTTTTTTTTTTTTGGTCAGTGTACTTGTGAGGATACATATTAGGTTAGTAATTTGAGTGGTTCTACCTTGGAAATCTAAGAATTTTGCTTGATTGGTAATATTATATTACCACAATATTATTAAAATAAGTGAAAATTGATTACTTTTTAAAGGGACAGCAAATGTTTAAGAAAAGTGTCATCAAATAAAAATGTACTAAATATGAATTTGAAAACTGTTGTAGCCTTGTTCGTGGCCCAGGGATTTTGGGGGAAATCACAGTGTTCTGGAGGATATTTCCTTCTTCTGTGGGGGAGTTTGTTGAAACATCAGGCAAACTGACAATGCAAAATGGACAATCTGAAGCCATTGTCATAATACAGGTACCAGTATGGCTGCCTTCTGTTAATCAATCTCTCTCTCTCTTTCTCTCTCTCTCTCTCTCTCTCTCTCTCTCTCTCTCTCTCTCTTTCAGTGTTTGAGTAGCGGGGCGGGGCAGTTAATATTACAGAATCAATGGCTAATTTCTGGGGATAGAATTTTACATTTTACACATTCTGTGGTAAATGACTTTTTTTTTTTAAACCTTCCCCAGGCTTTGGATGATGATGTTCCAGAGGAGAAATGTTCTTATGAATTTCGGCTCACTGGAATTAGTGAGGGCGGAGTGCTGAGTGAAGCCAGCAGCACCGCCGACATCACCATGGTGGCCAGCGACGCCCCCTATGGCCGATTCACCTTTTCCCATGGGCAGCTTGGGGTGTCTGAAGGAGCACAGAGGGTATGGTGTGGAGTGCATGAGTGTATTGCCCACATGTATGTAAATGCACCCATGTTGTGCAATGCATGCGGAGGTCAGTAGAGGGCATCGGATCCCCTGCAACTGGAGTTACAGAGAGTTGTTAGCTGCCATTTGGGTGCTGGGAATCAAACCTGGGTCCTCTGCAAGAGCAGCCACTGTTGTTAGTCATCTCTCCAGCCCTGTGCTTCAGGTCTTAATATTGTTTTTGTTTCTAATTTTGTGAGTGATCTTTAAAATCTGTTTCTTTGTTTTCTAATGTTTTTTGTAAATGAATTAATTTCTCTAATTTTATAGAGTTAAATTTTATTGCAACATAATCTTGGTATACAGAATCTCTAGAGATAATTTGTGGAGTGGTTATATAAATTAAACAAGCAAACAATTTTTTTGTAGGTCAATGTCACAGTGGTCCGGTCAGGTGGCTACCTTGGCCGTGTTCGAGTCTGGTATGAGACAGTGAACAGGACAGTGGATGCAGGTGTGGACTTCGTTCCCAAGACAGGAGAGCTCCTCTTTGAAGCCAGAGAGACGACAAAAAGTCTGCATCTTGAAATCCTGGATAGTGGCCATCCTGAAGGCCCTAAGGAATTTGTTCTTGCAATTACAAAAGTGGAACTCCAGGGAAGGTAAAGAGAGATTAGGGGGTTGTGGAGAGAAACGAAGACATCAGATATAGAGGAGAAATTAAGGCAAAGACTATTAGTTTTGTAGTTTTCTAAATTTTATTCCTTCCCACACCTCTGCCTGAACTTGGAAAGAATATGGCCCTGTTGTGTGGATACACTAAAGCCAGGGAATTGAGTGTGAGACAGCATCTCACAGTTCTATGAGGAATTAGCCTAACTGCTCTCTAGGTCAGAGGTCATCTCGAGTGGCAAAAGTTTCTTCCCCTCTTCTTGGCACATGGGAGAGGCATCTTTCCTTGGAATACCAAAGGTTGTATCATCTACTCTGTGCGTCCATGGGGTAGATGCTTGACCAGTAACAGTTTTAAAAATTTGAGTAGTCGTTGACCAAACAGGTTCAGTGTGCTTTCCACAACGATCAAAATTAATCATATTAAGACTTTTTCCTTTTTTCCTTCTCTGAGGTAGTGGAGCAGACTTGACTGACAGAGCAGAAAGCACCCTTAGTATAGGAAACTGCTCTTGGTGAGTCAGTGAATCTCCCAGTCACCTCTGCACAGACGACTTACACAGGACCCAGGAAGAGAAGACTTTTTACTAGAGTGATGCATGAATTTAGAGAACATCAAAAGGTTTCTTATACATTAAAATATATTTACCCTAGTTATATGTAAATATCATGCTTTAAGAATTTTAAACTCAACAGTTCACTCAAGGAAAAAAAAATACTTTGAGTTTACATATACTTCAAATGTTAAACTGGAAAAAAAAAAGACTCTGTATCTGGCAATGGAATGAAGGTCTTCCCGTACTGAATATATTAAAATGTGAGTTACTCACTGGCTGTCTTAATGAAGTGATTGCAGTTTGGTGAAAGTAGCTTACTGTATGACAGCTAGTTAACTAAGACTTGAAGATTTTGTCTTCTGGGCTACTCTAAAGAAGTTTCCACATGCGTTTACCCCTGGGAAACAGATTTTGCTTCTGGATAATTACTAGGTTTCCTTAGCTTTGAAAAAGGAAGCAGTGTCAGCGAGTGCCTCCTCTCTTGTGTCCTTGCTGGAGACCTGGCTGCGCTAGTTCTCTGGGGTTTCAGCTCGTCCCAGGATACGGATGATGCAGTTACTCTTGGCATTTAATATCTCACCCCACTTTTCTAACTTTGCTTTTACAATAATCTTACTAAGCAGTTTTCAACCTTTCAGTACAAGGTAGGTTATAAATAGCAGGTAGATAGAATTTGGAGAATTAAAAAGTACCTTTTAAAAAGTGCATTGACTTTGGGAATTGAAGTAATATAAAGTTCTGGCAGTCAAAGCTTGTTTGATATGAGCAATGATGTAAAAAAGTCTTTTGCAGAAATATTATACAAGTACACTGCCCTCTGGATCAAAGGATATTGATTATAATTAAAAGTATTGATTATAATTAAAAAGTATCTTAAATCTTGAGCATTTATTGGTTTGTGGCATGACACTCACTATTCTTTAAAATAACCCTCCCAGCCTTCCACTGTTCATCTGAAGTTCAGCTGGTGTTCCGTGCTTGAGCCCCAGGACCTTTTACTATAAAATGCTCAGCAGTAGTTATCTACCAGTTTATATTATGGTAGCTCCTTCCAAATTTCCTCATCATCTTATTATTTTTATATTGCCCAAACATAATAATTGTATATTAGTTTTGGTTACAGGTTGGTGTCAATAATAAAGTGATCAAACCAAAGTCTTTCTAAAACATGCCTTCAGATGAGTGTCTTAGTATTGAGGATCTTTAAGAGCATCACAGGACTGGGGAAGAGCATCTGTCAAGCATGTGAAAGTCATGGATTCATTGTTCATACTGCAAAGTACATAAAACAGTACAGTTCCTACTAGAACCAAGTTATATGAGTTAAAGGGACCTTTATGTTCATGCTAACCAAGTATGTGTTTTTGTTATCTTATTTTGTTGTGTTTAATTTTTGTTTCCTATGACTTTGTAAGAGGATACGATTTTACCATCCAAAGAAATGGACTTCAAATAGATCAACCTCCTGAAATTGGAAACGTCTCCATTGTTCGAATCATAATAATGAAAAATGATCATGCAGAGGGTATCATCGAATTTGACCCAAAGTATACTGCCATCTCAGGTAGCTTCAGTCCGCTCTTCTTAAATTGACACCATTTTCTGAATTGCAAAGAAATCTGATTCATCATATGCAAATCTTATTGGTTTTATCACAGAAATACCTTTATATTTGTATGTTTATTTATTTTGAAAATATGTTTTCAAATACCTTTAGGTAGTCTTGAACCATTCTGTGTTTTTGGCAAAGCCAAATGTTTACTCAGTTTTGAAAAAATGATGTTTAACTTTAGGCTTACTAAAATGTGTCTGTTGAAAACGTTTCTAAGGTGTTGGAGAGATGGTTCAGTTGTTAAAAATGCTTACTGCTCTCACAGAATACCAGTTTGGTCTCCAGCACTCACACTGGGTAGCTCATAAATGCCTGTAATGCTAGCTCAGGGGATTATCTCTCTCCCTCTTCCGGCTTCTGAGGACACGTGTGCTTGTGCGAGTGCACACACATGTGTGCATGTGTGCGCGCACACACACACATATAAATAAAAATAAAGTAAAACATTTCAAAGAAAACCTCTCAAAATTTGAGAGGCACATGGCAGTTAGCAACCATTCGTAACTCAAGTCCAGGGGATCTGACACCCTTTTCTGACCTCTGCAGGCATTGTACTACATGGGTGCACTTACACACATTCAGGCAATACTCTCACACACTCCATTGTTGATAAAGTTCATTTTGCATTTTTGCATCAAGAAATAAATGGGATTTTTTTCTCTTCACTCATTTTTCTTTTTTTCATTATTTAGAGAATACTTTATTAGTTTCTGTAAGTAAACCCATGTAGATAAGACCTTACACAATTAATACAATGCGTTACCCCTATAAAAATGGAAGAAAATTAAGTTTAACATTGCTAGAGCAATGAGACTGTTACTTTCTGTACAATGCCAAGTCAACATCGTAAATTTGGATACATTTTTTCCAAAGTGAACAGCACAGCTGAAGTTTTCAAAAAATTCAAATTGTATATGTATATATATTTATATTTCTATAAAAAGACAAATAGTAGCAGTATGTTATACATCAGTAGCAGCAATGGCCTTTCCAGGTTCTGCAGTCATTTGAACAAAATTATAGAGACATCTAGCACCCTCCCTTAAAAAAATAAAAGTGAAAAACAAAATCCCATAAAACAGCACAGTTCTGTTACTGTTGTGGTACCTGGCATTATTTTATTAACTTCTCAGTCATCATCTGAATAACACCATTAAGAACAGCTCTGATAAAGCACGGTCCCTACTAGGCATCATAAAGCAGGTGCAAGATGGTTTACATTCATAGAGGTATGATACTCTACTGCTCTACATCCATAATCTGGATGATCCAATTTAAAAGGCATCATTTGAGATTTGATTCTACTTTTCTAGCAGAGGGTCCAAAGGATGGTATGATACAGATCTGTAAAGAAATGCATCCTTAGAGATAGAATTTCCTTTCATTAGTGGCACAGTTCTAAGTATTCACTCTCTTCCTGAATGTCAGCTAAAAACCATTATTGAAATAAACAAACAAACAAAAATCATGAGGACTGGGGAAGACATCAGGAAAAAAATTACCTTAAAACAAAACTCCATAACCACCGGATTCATACAAAGATGACCGACTTGGGGCAAGCAAGACTCAGCCTCACTAGCACTTTACCCAATCTGTCCTGTTTGAATGGGGAAAGCTCCAAGGAAGGAAAGAGATGCCAAGCTTCAACGCTTCCGACCACAGTCAAGACACAGCATCATTTTAGACAGAAGCAGTAGCCAAAAGTTCCTCATTTGAATATGCTCAAGGATGCTGACATCAGTATTTAATCATCTGTTCACTCATCCAGGAAGAAGGGAAGATCTTCTGTACTTTGTGTTCAACGCAAACATGTTACAAAAATAGCAGGCAGCTGTAATAAAAAATAAGGCTCCTCTGCCCAGCACCAGTTATCGTCAGTTTACCTCCAAGTCTAAAGATGCCCCAGCCACATCCAAAGAAAACAAAGGGGCAAAGAAACCAGAGCTGATGTGGTAATGGGACCACTCATTGTGCAGGCTGAGCTATTCCCCTGTGGTATCCTTTTCCTCCTATTCTAGTGTTTTATCCCACCACAGAGGTTTTCACTCATTTTTTTACTAATTCAGTGTATCTGGGAGGATTTTTTGATATCATATTTAAAATATAAATTGACTGTTATTTAACCATAAGTATTTGATACCCATTAAATAATATTTAGTATATTTAGTATGTAGAGGCCAGCAAGGATCAAGATGGAAATACATTTAAAGACTTTAAATTGAAATAAAAATATTGAGGATATGTTTTCACATTACTTAATACATTTTTTTCAAGACCTGAAAATATGAGTTTGTACTTGTAGACTTTAAAATATTCATATGAGGGCTGTCAAGATGACCCAGTGGGTAAAGGTGGTTGCTGCCAAACCTGACAACCTGAAATTGGTCCTTAGAGCACACATGGATGAAAGGAGAAGGAACTCTCTGCAAGTTTTCCTTTGACTTCCACACATGTGCCATGGCATGTGTATATGTGCATGTGTGCACACGCACACACACAAATAAGTGTGAAGAACCATAGCTATAAATAAATGGTGCACAAGTTAGGTGTACTTACACATGTTATTTGTATTAAACTAAATGTGTAGAAACAATCTAGAACTGCTTCTAGAATCCTTTTCTGTGCATTCTAAGAGTCTACCATTGTCTTTGGTAAGAGTCATTTACTTGTGTGTTGCATGCACAGAAGGAATTCCCATGCTAATCATGGCATAGATTTCTTAAATTCTTTTACTGATCACTCAACTTTCAATATCTGGTATACTATATTTTTCATAAAAAATACTGGCCACGATACTTTTACTAGTTATTTTGTAAAGTGAACTATGGAAGAATCGAGAGTCTACTCTGAATCATTATTTTTAATTGCTTAGTTTTATTTGATTGAATCTTTGAAAAGCCAGTTGCTTTTTCTAGCATTCTAGTTAATTCCACATTCCTGTTACAGTGGAAGAAGATGTGGGGTTGATCAGGATTCCAGTGCAGAGGCTCCACGGAACTTATGGCCGCGTGTCCGTTGATTTCATCTCTCAGAGGTCCTCTGCTGTTCCCGAAAGTGTCCATTATCTACTGCACGGTAGTTCAGTCACCTTTCAGCATGGACAAAACCTAAATTTTATAAATGTCTCCATCATTGATGACAGTGAAAGGTTGGTCATATACAAAGCATGGGTATTGTAGTCTAACTTTTATGCATGCTCTGTGTTGACAATACATGTTCCTACTGAGAACACACAGTGAGATTTGGGAGTTCCAGGGCAGAGAAAGCGTGGGTGGGAGATCACTGTGGTTGTATATGTCATTTCATCTCGGAGGAGATAATTTCTGTTCCTTAAACAGTCTTGTTGGGATATGGCCACATCTCCTAAGTTCATCTGAAGCAATTAAAAAGAGGGAGGGAAGCCTCTTGATGTTGATCATGGTTTTCTCTGAACACCCTCTTCTTGGTGTGTGACTACTGTGCCTTGAATATGTATGACCAATTTGGAAAATGACTAGTTATTTGGATTTTACAAGCATTTTAATGTGTTTAGACTCACAGAATTGCTTCTTCTTGCTATACAGTGAATTTGAGGAGCCCATTGAAATTCTGCTCACTGGAGCTTCTGGTGGAGCGGTCCTTGGGCGCCACCTAGTGAGCACAATCACAGTTGCCAAAAGTGACTCTCCCTTTGGGGTCATAAGATTTCTCAATGAAAGCAAAATTTGCATTCCTAACCCCAATTCCACAATGATTTTACACTTGACCCTGGAGCGGACTGGAGGACTCTTAGGAGACGTTCAGGTAGAGTTATTTTTCCTTTGATTTTAAAAGTGATTTTGATATACTGTGCTTGATGTTAGATTTTATTATTCCCCAGATGTGTTTATTGATTACTTTGTAAATGTTAAATGACTTCTGCACCTGATGAGTCTGTAAATGTTTATAAGGCATGCATCTGTCCTTAGGAAATGCAAGAACAAATTAAAAATAGATAGATGAGTCTGATAAAATGAATCAATCCAACATTGAACATTTGCTGTGTGCCCAGGCAGAGAACATATTTGGGAACAGATTTGCTCTTTGTTCTCACAGTCCTGGGCTCATTTTAACAAATAGACTTGAATAGTAGCAAGCTAGGAAAAAGGGAGGAGGTTCTTCATCCCCTGCCCTGACCTGCTGGCTACCTTTAATTAGGAGATAAGGGTGTGTTGTCTGGGGCAAAAGGAATACTATATCCTGGAGAAGAGTAAGCCTGACCTGTTGGTGGTAGGAGAGGTCTACTTGATTAGGCACAACTAACAATATAAGTGGATCAGAGGGTCTAGTAGGTGTTTGATCACAAAGAACCGTTTAGGACAGGTTAAAGACTTTATTCTAAATAAAATACACCATTAAGGGAAATTTAAACAGGAAAAAGTTTCATTATATTTGTACTTAAGTAGCTCATTTATGGCTGCTGTGTGGATGATGGATTGTGAGGATGAGAGAGAGAGAGAGAGAGAGAGAGAGAGAGAGAGAGAGAGAGAGAGAGAGGGGGGGGTGGTAGAGAGAGAGAGATGGTTGGGAGGTTGCTGTCCTCTATTCCAGTGGAGAAAGAGGTGACAAGGTGTGCTTAGTTCCTTGGGCTAGACCTGGAGGCGAAGGGAAGAGAAATGAAGAATGGCTCCTAGAATTGTAGTTCAAACATCTGGAGAAATAGTAGTGCTGTCTTACAAAACTCATTAGCTGGGATGAAAAATGGAGCATTTGGGGCTGGAGAGATGGCTCAGCAGTTAAGAGCACTGACTGCTCTTGCAGAGGACCTGGGTTCAAATTCCAGCACCCACATGGGTGGCTAACAACTGTCCGTAACATCAAGAGGGGATCTAACACCCTCTGCTGACCTCCGTGGGTATTGCATGACATGGGTGCACTTAGTTATATGCAGACAATATACTCATACAAATTTTAAAAAAAGAAAAAAATTAAGCATTCTACTTTGTACATGGTAATTTGAGATCCATGTTGATGTGTTGGAAGGCATTGAAACTTTGGACCTCTGAGTGAAGATAGTAATGTGGAGAATGCAGAGTTGAGCTTTTGGCTCCTGGATTGTAGGGATCAGAGGAAGGAAGACTGAGAAGTTAAAGATGAAACTGGGGAAGGGATATGTTCTATAAGAATTATGTGAGTCCAGAAGGCTGGGACATGTTCCAGCAGGAATCCACTGTGGTGAATGCTGCTAAGCAATGAATGACAAGCACAGAGAAGCGCAGTCTTTTTCCTCATAGATAGTACAACAGCTATGCAACTTAAGATTACAGAAACCTAAAACCATATTTATTATAATACAAACGTGTTTCTGATAAGACGTAGAGGAAAACTTCCATTCATTTTTACAATAGAAATTTAAATATACTCAGAAAAGACTTCACACTCAGCAGAATTTTCCTGGTTTTGGTGTCTTACTCCAGTATGTTTTGATTGGCAGAATCCGTGCACATTGCAGAAGAACACTGAACTCGTGAACTTTATGTGTTTGTAATGTGTATTTTTAAATGTATTTTTTGCTGTCCTGTGATGTTTGCGAATGACTGAGTATTATTTTTCAACTTTCATATTTGAAAATATTATTTTAAGGACAGATGAGTTGATGGAGTAGGACTTAGCTTGATATATTCTAGAGTAGTTTTATATATGGCTATATTTTCCATTACTACATGTACTGCAATAATTTCTTGCTTAGAATTGACCATTTTTACTAAAACTAGTAACACCCCACAGGTGAACTGGCAGATTATAGGACCCAATTCTCGGGAAGCCTTACCACCACTGAATGCAGACATTGCAGACCCAGTGACTGGAACCTTCTATTTTGGAGAGGGAGAAGGTGGACTGAAAACCATCATTCTGACAATCTATCCTCATGAAGAAACTGAAGTTGAAGAAACTTTCATAATTCAACTTAAACTTGTCAAAGGAGAAGCTAAATTAGACTCTAGAGCTAATGATATTACATTAACAGTAAGTTTGACTATATTCCACAAAATTTCAGATTTAGTAGATTTATCAGAAAATACATTTGTATTGTTTAGGACTTTTTTTTTTTTTTTTTACATATTTTACCAATCATTTTGTTCAAATATTCTGCAACTGTCTTAGAACTTTTTTCAGTTAACACTGAGTCATGGGTATCATTCCTTTTCATCTTTTCTAGACAGATTTTATCACATTGTAATAATTGCATGATATACTACAGGAGAATTGTATATGATTTATTAATTTCATTGTTGATTAAGATTAGGGTTACAACAATAATTCTTTCATTAGTAAATTTCTGCCAGCACAAAACATAATGAGTAATTTGAAAAAATAATTTTAATATCTTTAGAAATATTATTTACAAAATTATGTCCTATGTGTGTGACTGTGTGTGAATTTAAATTCTTATGCTGAATTGAAAAATTTAAAACTACATGAAGTGGCTAGAGATGTGGTTGAGTTTGTAGAATGTTTGCCTAATGTGCATGAAGCCCTAGGTTTGATCCCCATTACTCCATATGCCAGGTGTGGTGGTGCATACATAAAATCTCCGCACTGGCAAGTTTGAGGCAGGAGGCTCAAAGTTATCCTTGGCTGTACAGCAAGTTCAAAACCAGCCTAGGATACATGAGACTCTTAGAACAAACAACATGAAGTACTAATAATTCCTCTGGGTCAAATGTTCTTATTTTTTATAGTAGTTAATTACATAGCCTGCTTATTGGTTTTTATGGGAAATTTTTAGTGGAATGCTAAAGTACTTATTTTAAAATATTAGAGAATATTTTGTGTTTGAGGACTATTTGGCACTTCTAGAGAAGAGACATTCATTGTATCATGTTAAACACTGAATATCTCTGTCATCAAAATGTATAAAAATTGTTAACTTATTACAAGTCTTACTGTTTGAAGGAAGAATGATTCTTATTCAGTTAGCACAGTGTTGTGGTGTTGGATCAGACCTGAATTTAGCTTCTTTAATGTGAGCTACCCAGTCCATGAGAGCTGGAAAGTGCTGGGAACAATAAAGGCTTCTGAAAACAGTGAGGAGAAATGATATATTTTAATTTTGGAAAATACTACTGTTTGGGTTCTGAATCTGATAAGAGGTTTCCTGAAAAAAAGAACCAAAGGAACACACACACACACACACACACACACACACACACACACACACATCCAACTATCTAGGATGGGAGAGAAGGGAGAGAGGAGAGGGGACAAAAGGGACGAGAGGGGACAGGAGAGAGAGCAAGCGAGAAAGAGATATGCAGAGACAGACAGAGAGAGACAGAGACAGAGACAGAGAGGAGACTGAAACTCAGGAAACTCAGCAAGGAGCTGCAAATGTGGTCTTGGAGTTCTGTGTGCGCAGGGCAGTAGACAGGAAACTCAAGCAGAGTTGCTAGGTTTTAGCCTTCCTTTAATGGATACTCACTGAAGCTATTCTCTTGAGTCTTTCGGTTAGTTGGATGAGACCTACCAGCACTATTGAGGATAATCTCCTTTGTTTTGAAATAAATGATTCAAAGTGTTAATCATATCTACAAAGTACCTCCACAGCAATATCTAGAGTGATGTTTCACCAAACAGTTGGGCATCGTATTCTTGACTATTTAATACATAAAATTAACCATCTCAGGGGTTGGAGGTACAGCACACACAAGGCCAAGTTTGGTTCCTAGCATCAAAATTAACAACAACCGTCCTAGGGCCTTTCTGTCGCTGTCTACTTTATATCATAGCTAATAGAGACTAGTTAGCTAAAGCCAAGTGGATAAATGTATAAAGCATAAGGTGAATAAATAAAAATTCAGACTTCAAACAATTATTCTTTTTGCCTTCTCCAAGTGACAATTTTCTGATTACTTCTACTATCTTCGGAGAATAAGAACCTATTTATTCTAGATTAGTAGATTATATTCAAATGTTACTTTTGTTTATAGTTTCCTCTGGTTATCTGTGTATTAATCTGGTAGATATTATAGTTTGATCATGATTACTGTATATGCTATTCACTTCCTATTAATGTTTATTAGATACAAAAGTTTGGCCATCCAAATGGAGTTGTTCATTTTGCACCCGAGTCTTTATCTAAGAAAATGTATTCAGAACCACTAGCATTAAATGGGCCCTTGGTCATTTCTTTCTTCGTGAGAAGAGTCAAAGGCATCTTTGGAGAGATTATGGTATTACTTTTCATTTGATTTTCCTAAACAGAGTTTCAATTTGCCTAATATATGTAGTTGGTGGAAAGGTGGGACAGAGAAACTTCATGTTCTAGTTAAAGATTTTTCTGATTTATGTTATAAATTTTCAGAGACTGTAAGATGCTTACAGCTTTGGATTCTCCAGGCATCATCAGCCCCTGATGCTTTCTTTCTCTAAATCAGATTTGGTTACAGTGATCTGGAAAGACAATACTCACTTATCATGAAGGGATGAACTATGTTGTATTCTATTATTTGCTATAACATGAAAACTTCCCTGTCAAACCCCTCAGTAATCCCACTTTTTTGTAAATTGCTTATATTTGTCAAAGCTTTATCACAGAATGTTTACAGTTAGCAAATGTTTGTTAAGGCATTGCATTTAGGTGTTTATTGATATAGACTGCATGATACCTTTAGAGGTTCTCCTGGATTTGGCTAACAGATAAAACTCATCTGTTTGCAAAAATTGTCATTTGTGAAATTCTTCTATATACTTAAGCACTCTTCCTGTATTGAAGATTAGCTAGTATTTTTTTCTTTTGAAAATTTGTGGTTTGGTGGTAACATTTATGAAGTAGTGATTAATTCTTGGTCCTTTCTGGCATGCTAGACTTTGTTTTATTTATCTCTTCTAACTGGGCTTTTATTTTAAAAGGAAGTATAACAATAATATTTTTAAAAATCCTGTCTTTCAGATTGCATATGACAGTCTGAAGGAGTTAATATATTTTCCAAAATAACATATATTTAGAGAAAAGAAACACAAGTTTCTTTTTTGCACATTATAGAAGAAATGTAATTGAAAAGTTTCTGGTTCAATATGCTGAGTTTTGTGACTTTGTTGAGTATTTTTGCCCTTCATTACAGGTTCACTGGGAACTAAGCAGTGAGTTTGATACCACTGGAGACTTTCTTTTCACCAGTGGACTTTTTACCATTGCTGATGGAGAGAGTGAAGCTACCTTTGAAGTCCATTTACTGCCAGATGATACTCCTGAGATAGAGGAAGATTATGCCGTCCATCTTGTTTCTGTAGAGGGCGGTGCAGAACTGGATCTGGAGAAATGTACCACATGGTTCTCTGTGTCTGCAAATGATGACCCGCATGGCATATTTGCCTTGTACTCAGATCACCAGTCAATACTGATTGAGCAGAACCTTATTAGATCCATCCAAATTAATATAACCCGGCTTGCTGGAACATTTGGTGATGTGGCTGTTAGATTTCAAATACTATCTGATCTTAAAGAAGAGCCAGTTGCTTCTGAATATGCAGAGAGGCAGCTGGTGGTCAAAGATGGTTCCAGATACAAAATGGACCTGGTGCCCCTGAAGGAGGTTTGTAGCATTTCTTCAAAATCTTGATAATTCTAGCAGAACTCCTTTAGGAGAGCCCTTGCTTGCCTCATGATCAGTTGAAAGCTTTACTCTGATACTTAAAGGTAACCATGAAACTGCTCTACAAAATGTGTAGTAATTACTGGATGATACATTTACAGAGTATGAGTGAAAAACTAGATGTATTTGGAAATAGTAGGTTTTGTCCAGAGAACTGATGCATGGTCCCTGAACTCACACACTGATAACTGCTTCTGTTCTCAAAAACCTGGAGCATGGGAATTGCCGGGACTTTCTGAGATGATAATGAGGAGATTGAGCAGCAAGCTGCTCTGCAACATTTTGTGTGAGGGTGATAGGAATGCAGAGCTTTGGAGTTGGTAAGATGGCTCAGTGGGTCAGGGCACTCGCTGCCAAGTCTAATGGCCTGTGTTTAATCTCATGGATCCACATGGTAGAAGGAGAGAACTGACTCCCACAAGTCATCTTCTGACTTTCCCAGAAGAGCTGTGGCATGCACCTGCCACCCCCAGGAGGAAATAAATGAATGTAATAAAAATTATTTTAAAAGGGGACACATGGATTTCTTGTGGGTCAAGAAAATATCCTAGCAGTTTGTGTAAGCCCCCAGAAAGTGATTAGAGCACTTTAAAAATCTTCTCAAGAATAATACGAATCATATCATTCTCTATGAGAAATGCTAGTTGTTTCATAAATACGGTACTTCATGGCATATACTACTTTATGGGTAAGAAATCTGCCCAGATTAGAATCACCTTGAGAAAAATACAAAGGTACATTGTGAAACTGGAAGGGAATCTCAGGGTCATCAGGAGAGTATGTTGCGCCTGTTGAGGGATAAAGAGTGGAATTCTCAACCTTTTGATGAGCACCCAGATCAGTTCAATAAAATGTTCAGCATTGGGGTGCTGCTTTCATTAAGTTATGATGGTTAGCCTGTGCTAGCTAGGAAAGAACTAGAACAGACAGTAAGACTTGTCCATTTTTATTAAAGTAGCTTTCCCCTATATGTAGCCAGGTTGATGGGCATGCCCAGAGTTGGAGAGATCAGAGAAGTGTTGAAGAATCATACCATGACCCGTTTCCCGCTGTAAATCTGAGCCGTGGGTCATAAATAGGAAAGCTCTAATTGAATGTGAAGTTGAAGTTTTAATTAATGTAGTCTGGTCTTTTATATTTCTGAAAACGACAACTGTAAGATTTACTTAGAATATTGTTAAAGGGCAGTAGAAAGAAACCCCACAAGACACAGGAAAAATGAAGTAGTTTCCTATGAGTTTCATCCAAGTTCATAAACTTATGATCAACGGCAACCAAGCTCCTTGAAGAAGAAGCAGCATGCCTGTTACAAAAGTTTGCACTTACCATGCCATCTTTTAATCTTTTCTACATCTAAGTCTTCACTTTTGTTGATATTTAAAAGGGAAACATTGAAACTACTTAGTGAGGCATTGGTTTCAGAGCTGTTCCTGTGTTTCCGTAGTTCCATGGAAAACTGATTCAATGTCATGTCTGATTTATCTTTTCTAAACTCAGTATTCTATGCCTAAAAATTATCAGGATTGGAAGAGTGAAAAATTGGGAAAGTGAGAAGAGTGTTTAGTTAGCCGAGTATTATTATATGAAGTCTTTATTTACAAACCAGAAAAATTAAAAAAAAAAAAAAACAAAAACCATCCTTAGTCAAGCACAGTGGTTCATGCTTGTAATCCCAGAACTTTAGGTGAAAAGGCAGGAGTATCCCAAGTATAAGGCCAGCCTGGGATATCTGGTGAGACCCTATCTCAAAAATACTAAACAAAAACCAATACAAGATACTTAAAGTGTGTGATTTAAAATATGACTCACAGCTGATCAGCATGCAAAGAATAAGAGACCAGGGAGTGCTCAGTCTTAAATGGAACATCTGTATTCCATTCCCTCCTGCCAAGGCTCAGGGATCACTGTGGAAGAGAAAGTGGAAAGATTGTAACAGCCAGAGGTAGTGAAAAACTGTAAAATACTATTTTCAAAACATGACAGGGCCTCTGTACATAGGAATTCAAATCAGCTGTTTCTGTAGACACAAGACAAGGTCACACAAGTCACCCAGGTCACAAGGTCAACCAGGCATTGATGGAAGAGAGGCTCACAGGGTTCCAATAACAACTCCTTAAAACTTCCAAGTTCCTGTTCAAATGAGTCTAACCACTCAGCTTTTCCTCATATCTATTATTGGCAAATGATGGCTACTGAGGGAGAGAGGGCTTCAGTTTTCTTAAGGGGTATGGCCCCCGAGAGGCTGCCCATGCTCCAGTGGATGACCCTATACCCACACACGTACTGGCAACGCTAAGTAAATTCAGTGGATTAAAAAGAGTACATGAAATTGGGAGAGAAAAGTGGTGAGGGCCATATAGGAGTAGATGGAAGGGAAGGAGTGGAGTGGATTTGATCAAAACATATGCATGCGTAAAATTCCTAAGCAATAAGTTAAAAAATAAAAAAACTATAAATGTTTAAAAGTTTGTTGCATACATTCATAGTAGCACAGTCTGACCACATCTGAACCGTAATTTGCTGGTGGACACTAAAGATCATTGCTTTAAGTTTCAAGGAATAGATTTGTATCATTTTATAATAAGGATTCATTTGCCAATAAGGTTTGGCATAGAGAAGAGATGAATAATCTGTTATTTGTACTCCATAATGCTTGTAGTACAAAATCCTCTTTTATTGTAGGAAAACAATGTCTGATCTGCTTAGCTATCAGGGTGTTTCTAGTGGTACTTGGAACATTTTGAAGGACAGTAGTCACTTTTTCATTTCACATGGAGATCTTCATGATATAGTTTATAATATCATTAGATTTTCTTTTAAAGAGATTTTTGTTTGTATGTTGCTAATTATGTGTATATGTGTGTGTCTCTGTGTGGATATGTCCATGTGAGGGCAGGTATCTGCAGAAGTCAAAGGGGTCAGATCCCTCAGGAATTTGTGTCACTGGAGGTTGTAAGATGCCTGATATAGTGGCTGGGAATTGAACTCTGATCCTCTAGAAGAGCAGTATGTGCTCCTAACTGCTGAACCATCTCTCTACCCCTGATACTGGATTTTCTTAGTACCGTATTTGAATTATCATCTATGCATTTATTAATATCTGAACCTATTTTAATTGCTTTTATGATTTCTTTTTTACTAAAGGGTAATAAAACTTCACTAACTGATGTGTATAAAAAAGCTTCTGATTTTCTGCATATAATAACATCTTTCATAACCTATTTCAGGTCTCTTGGTATCTTCTTTCTCATATACATTCCAGGGTGTGTGACATAAAACTGAACCGGGTCATCTTTTCATTTCACATGGATATCTTTTTGTTTGTCTGTTTTGTTTTTTTTGAGACAGGGTCTCCCTGTAGCTCCAGCTGGCCTGGAGCTCACTATATAGACCTGGCTGGCCTCTGTCTCATAGAGATCTGCCTGCCTCTGCCTCCTGAGTACTGGGATTAAAGGTGAGTGACACAAGGAAAACCTAATGGTGTGGTTTATAATGATACTTGGTTTTCTTAATACCATATTTGAATTATGTGCTGTTTAGTTTTTGTCAGTGTGACATAAACTTGGGAAGAAGGAAACTTGGTTGAGAAATTGTATTTATCAGACTGGCTGTGGGCATATCTGTGAAGGGTATTTTCTTAATTGTTAATTGATATGGAGATCCCAGCCCACTTTGGGCAGTGCTATCCCTGGGCACGCGGGCCTAGTCTGTACAAGAAAAGTATCCGAGCAAGCCAAGGGAAACAAGCCAGTAAGCTGTGTTCCTCCATGGTCTCTGCTTCAATTCCTGCCTCCAGGTTCCTACCTTGAGCTCCTACAGTGTTGGAGATATGCATCGATATTTTACAGCCATAAATTATTTCTATTTGTACCCAGATACTCATCATAGGTGATTTTAAGACTCTATAAAATAGGATCAGTGAGGCTGTCCTGGGTCAAGGAAAAGAAAGGACATAGAGGAAAATGTGATCAACCCCTTAAAACTTCCAACTTCCTTTTCAGATGAGTCTAGCCATTCTTCTGAATAGCTTTACCTCACATCTTCTGTGATTCATGTTTAACTTTAACGTCGGTCACCCTGAGGACCTGTGTATGTTGACTAGGCCCATCTGCAGAGGGGCTAGGCAGGGATGCTCAAATGACTGGGTGCTGATACTTCATTTTTTTATGAAATGGGAATGAAATGTCTTTAGCTCTCCAGCCATGAGCTGACCTGCAGGGGGATGGGAACACCTGGAAGGAGTGAATACAACTGACTGAAATTATGATGCTTAGCACTGACATAAAGTTCATGTTCAGTGATGCCATTTTGAGAGAATGAAACTTAACGTTTTCCTCATGTTGTACATTTGAAATCCCATGATATACACTTTACACATTTGAGGATGTGATGTGTGTTAAAGTTCATTATGTTGAAAAGATGGTTCTCAGACATGGCTGCTTTTGCACTCAGCAAAGATGCAAAATTTGTAGTAATATTCCTGGTTTGGAGCTAACTTAGAAATTAATCATCACCAATAGCAAATGTTTTAATGAGAAAATATATTGCAAGTTTCATAAATACCTCCAGTGTGACAACAGTTTTTAAATTCAAAATTTTCCATTTTACTCATTGCTAAACTTTTCACACCATCAATCTAACACATTGTGTTAATGATTTTTATTTGCCAAAACTATTGAAATAATGAAGACACCTAGGAAAACATCCATTTTGAGAAATATTAGAGTTATTAGTTCTTTGCTTAATGATGAAGAAGACAGTAGGTTTTCAGGGCTCTTGGTGCCAACACTCCACTGTGTGCTCTTTCCATCCCCTTGGCACTACTTCTGTGATTCACATAATTTTTTAGGCCTTTTGGGCACACGTGGATGAATTGCAAATTTATGTGTTTATTCTCTACAACTTCTGCTCACACCACCCTCTAGAAGCTGGTGTCTTATTTCAAAACAAGGGGGAAAGGACAGCTATTGGTGAAACTGCAGGCTGATAACAGACCTAGGCAAGTGCTTATGATTCAGCTCACATCTCTATTTTATAATCTGAAAATTCCTTCTTAATACTAAATTCACTGATACTGTTTGTTTATAGGTCTTCCTATCATTGGGCTCTAATTTCACCTTGCAGCTGGTGTCTGCGACGCTTGTGAGTGGACATTTCTATGGAATGCCAACAATTCTCCAGGAAGCAAAATTTGCTGTTCTTCCTGTTCCAGAGGAAGCTGCCAATTCCCAGGTAATTGGCCCTGGATGTAGTTCTCTCAGTGAACCACTAGAGGGCAGCGTGCATAGGAAGCGCCAAGATCTTAGGGAATTTTTTTTTTTTTGGCTTTTTGAGACAGGGTCTCCCTGTAGCCCCAGCTATCCTGGAACTCACTATGTAGACCAGGCTGGCCTCGAACTCACAGAGATCCGCCTGCCTCTGCCTCCAGAGTGCTGGGATTAAAGGTGTGTGCCACCATGCCCGGCAAGAATTTCTTTTTTAAATATAATATTTTAATAAACTCTTTGAGGATTTCATACAATGTATTTTGATCATAGTCACCTCCCCACTCCTCCCAGATCCACACCCACCTCCCCACTACCACTTAATTTTGTGTCTTTTTAAAGTTTTTATTTAAACAAAGTTTTTTATTGAGCTTTTTGTACATTTCATATAAGAGTTTTTAATCAAATTTGGACCCCTTTCCCCATCCATGTCCCTTCAATCCCCCCCCACCAAACTTCATGTATTCCGCCATACATGTTAAGTCCTGTCCAGTTAAGCATTTGTTCCCAGATGTCTGTTGGTGCAAATTCATCCACTGGAGTCTAGTCAGCCTATCTAGAAATTGTTGGTAAGGCGTACTCTCCCTCGCCCAGCAGTAATCAGTCTCCAATAGTTCCCAGACTAGGGCCCACCCACCACCCATTTCCCTCACTCCACTCTTGACCCTCGTCTGATTGAGTTGACATGGGTCCTGTGCTCGATGTGGCACAGGACATCAAGTTCACATGTGCAAGCTTCCAGTGGCCTGAAAGCTTCTGCTTCCCTATGTTTGTGGACCAACCCTGTCTATTACAATCTTTCTGCCCCCTCTTTTGCAGTGGTCTCTGAGTCATGGGTGGGAGAGGTTTGATATGGGAGTCTTATCCAGGGACACACACTCTACAGTCTCTTATTCTTTAAAAGTTGGCCAGTTGTGGTCTTTTGTGTACATCACACTCTGTTGTATAAGGAAGCTTCACTGGTGAGAGTTGAGGGATGCACAAATTTTCTCTCTACCCCCTGTTCCACGAGTCTTAGGTGTAGAGTCTTAGGTTCCACTGTTGATACGTCACCAAGAACTGGGCATCTCTCAGACATACCTTCTCTGTGTCTGACCAGTTGTGGGATTCTACAGTAGCCTCTGTCTGTTGCAAAGAGTTACAAAAAGAAGCTTCTTTGATGAGTGATGTATGGTATACTTGTTTATAAATATAAGGATCCATATTTAGCATACGGTTAGAAATTTCATTTGTCTAGAGATATGACAGAGATAGTGTTTACTCTAGGATCTATGACCTTTCCAGCCGTGTGCATTTGACTGTAGTTATAGTGCCACCCATGTGTTTACTCCCCACCCAATGGGGAGTACCTCTCCCATTGAGAGGGTTTTGAGTTCAATTAGATAGCTAGCTGCCAAGTACCTCCTAAATAACAGTGCCACTACTGCACTTATTTTTTTTTTTAAAATAACCTACTGAGAGTCCAGATTGTGCTGCCCATATACTTATGGGTGTGGGGCCAGCCACTGATGCATGGGCCTCCTACCAGAGGCCATACCTTTAAAGAAAACTGGCAAGAGGCAATTTTTTCAAGATTAATCACTTTCTTAAATCTCAGTAGTCCTGTGAATATCAAAGGAGCCCTTATGTAAAAATAAATTGTCAATTTTAATTATTAGTTGGAAAATTTACTTGCCTTTTTAGGGTGTTAAAAACATTTTTATCGTGTGGAGTTGGAATAAAAGGTCTAGAATTTAAAAAGTAGCAGCCACTTGAAGCAGACATTTTTAAGTATTAATATCAAATATTTAAGATTGAGGTAATTAAGCTAAATTATTAAAATTGGTATGAAATGTTAATGAACATTTTAGACTTCTTCCCTTACTAACAGTATGCATGTTTGTATATAACATCTGGACTTTGGCTTACTGTGTCAATTTGTGCTGATATTGATAAATACTGGTGACAATTCTATCCAGAGTCTGTGAGCCCTCTGAGTTCATTGTAGGAAAGACTGATTACCAGTCACCTCATAGGCTTACAAGGAAGCAGCTTTCCTTTTAGGCCCTTATGAAGAAATGGTAGGGTTGGTGACCATGCAAGCATTTTGAAAGCCATTCTGAGACTGAATCCCTCCCCACTCCTTTATAAGGGAGCACCAGTGAGAAGGGCAAGCCTGGCCCAATATGCTGCTGGATCCTGTGCAGATGATTGTGTCAGAATGTAGGTGTATATGATCACTGGCCATTAAGTGGTGTTCTTTGGCTGCTCTGTCTTAGACATCTCCTCTACTGGGAATGCATTTGTTCAGTCTCTAAAATGGAGTCAAGCATTAAAAACAGGAAGAAAATCAAGTTGCTATTGTTGTTTTTCTTTTCGAGCTCCAGAATGTTCCTGTGGAAACACACACTTCAAATGTATAACTGCTGGTACTCTAGATTTCTCTCTGTTGAGACTAGAAGTAACCAGAGCTCTCCAGATCAGTATGTGAAGCTGGGACTCTGGTTTTATTATAAACCACTGATCAGAACTTATTTCACCAGTAAACTACACACCCTGGAAAGATTGCCCTTAAAATGAAATCTTATTTGATGTTTGTGAAAAAAACACTTACTTAAATTTTTGAGGCTTTCTGAGCCTCACAGAAAATGTCAATGTAATCAAAGGACTGAAACAAAAACAACCTTAATAGAAGGTTGAGATTTTCATTTGATAAATGAAGGAAACGTACTATATCTTAGGAAGAAGACAAATTCTAGACAGATCAGTTTCTGAAAAGAAAAGAAAAAAAAAAAAAAAAAAAAAACAACCTTGAAAAGTCATTTAAATGTTGTCTAAAAGCTGGGCATGCTGGTACCTGCCTACAATCCCAGCACCCTGGGGTCTGAAGCAGATGAAGAGTTCAGGGTCATCGTTGGCTGTAGAGTTAGAGACCAGCCTGGATACATGAAACTCTTTCTTAAGATAGACAAATAAATTAAAGACACATGACAGTTATAAACTTTTAAAAGAATGCCATTTAAAACCTTTTTCTTTCATTTAACTATGATTATATTTTTCTTTTGAATATTTTACATTCAAAGGATTTTTATTTTACTAGAAAAGAGAAAGACTATAATCCGAAGTATAAAGCAGAATGAAATTTCAAATCTGAGATATTTCTTAAGCTTTTCACCTTTGACTATATTGTCATAGACTGTAATAATTTCTATAAACAAAAGTTTAGCCCATTCTTCAGAAGCCAGGAAAATTTAGAGAGAACTTAAATTCTCCAAGTATATCTTTCTTCAGGTTGGATTTGAATCTACTGCTTTTCAACTTATGGACATCACAGCTGGCACGAGCCAACTGATGATATCCAGGAGAGGCACCTATGGTGGGCTTTCTGTGGTCTGGACCACTGGATATGCGCCTGGGTCCGAAATCCCTGAATTCATTGTGGTCGGCAACATGACGCCAACACTAGGTGAGTACTAGCTGATCTAGACTAGCTTGCAGAACATGAGTTGTGCAGTTGACCCACCTTTCTGAGTTGTCTCTCTTCTCGACACTGAGCTGTTAGAGTCCTAATTTGGTGCTCCCAGATTGAATACAGTGCTTCTATGTACAGTCACGGTGGTACAGGCTGCTTGGTGAGAAGAGAAACTGCTTTTACTCAAATTAGAAACTTTATACTACATGTAAAAACTTTTGATACCAAGGCAAACAACTCAGTCACCTCCTTAAGGATTTGTTAAAAGTAGTTCTCAGTAGCCGGGCATGGGTAGCCCATACCTCTGATTCCGGTACATGGGATGTAGAGGTATGAGGATCTGTGTGAGATCCAGGCCAGTGAGGTCTATATAGCAACTTCCAGGCCTGCTAGGGCTACAGAGAGATCCTGTCTCAAAACAAAACAAGAAACAAAACAAAAATAATAGCTCTCAGTATCTTATTTAGCTCACATGTCAAAAAAAAAAAAAAAAAAAAGACACAGCTTTGTACCCATTCACATGCTCACCTAAATATTTCTGCTGAAAAGGCAGCTGTTAATTTGTATATTTAATTTTAAAAATTATGATATTAGTTTTAAGAGCTCTAGGTTTCTGTGATGATAGTTACAAGCCCCCCCACCCCCTTCTGTCAGGTCTCAGGATCTTTGCAGCGCCCCCTCCTTCATTTACAGTGTCTTGCTGGTCAACAGGCTGATATCACAGTAACTCATAGATCTAATGACTCCAACATAGGAAGTAAGATTGTTCTCTCAGTGAGGATGGAATGATTTTTATTTTTCCAAGTCTCACTAAGCCAAGAAACTCAATAGCCACTGAAGCACTTTAGAAGATGAGGGTTGGGCTCAGGATAGTAAAAAGGACTATATTGCCATGTCAGCTTCCATCCCAGTAGAAATCTCAGTTAATATAGAGTGAATCTGCTACACAGGTAGAGTGGGCCTCAGCCACTGCACGGGAGCCAGATCTGCATCAGCTACTCATGGTCCTTGCTTTCCTCTTGGCTTGTCCCCTAAGTTAAGGAGCTTTTATTATCCCTCCTATCTACAGTCCTTTTTCTACAATCTTTTTGTCACTTTGTGTGTGATAGGTCTGACTCCATACAGTTTAGATTTAGCCACTTAAGATCCATGTGTAGAAGAGGTATTATACTTTATGCATGTATATGTGCTTTTGTGCTTATGTATAAAGCTTTCAAAGTTTTTTAGTGAATTTACAGTAACTTGAGTAAAAATAATAGAAATTCCTAAACAGTAGGTATTTATCTTCAAATAGGTTTGATTACTTTCTTGAGCTTTTTATAATACTTTTATAAACTTAATGAATAATAAAATCAATGAATTTCTATAAACTCAGCGAGGTGATTAAACAGTTGTTATAATCGTCAGAATTTGTGACTTTTAAAAAAAATAATCGAACGTAAAATACATATATTGTGATATTCTACCCTGAACTTCTGCTGTAAACATCTTTTTAAAAAATGCTGGAGTGAGTGGGACTGGAGAGAGCTCAGCAGTTAAGAACACTGGTTGTTCTTGCAGAAGATTGGGCCTTGAATCCCAGCACCCACGTGGCAGCTAACAACTGTCTGTAACTCCAGTTCCAGGGGATCTGACAGCCTCTTCTGTCCTCCACGGGCATTGCACGACACGGGGGCACTTACGAACATGCAGGCAGTACACGCATACACATAAATAAAAATAATAAAATAAAAATATTTTTTAAAATGCT